TCAACCTCAGAGCTTCATTGCACGTGATCGCTTCCACTCTGAGGAATTACAAATGAGAGGTTCAGTTCCGTCCACACACCTAACACCTAAATGTATAAGAAAATTGCATTAACCGGTTAACTAGACCAGAACTAGATAGTGTCTCCTTATCCTATTAGGACTCACCTTATCGGGGCACAAACCCCAGGGGCTGCGGGGAAGGAGAGAAAAGGGGCGAAACACCCCGTTGGCGCCGTTCCCAATTCGCCGCAGCCGTCCGGAGTCCAATGTCCGAGCTAGGAGAGTCCCAGCGGAGTCGCCAGAAACTGTGACCGAAATATCAGGTCCACCTAGCTGAGAGCCAATAACAGCCAGACAGGGATAAGGAGGAGTTGCTTTATTCTGCAGAAGAAAGGAGAGCTTTGTACCTTAGTACAAAAACTCTGTCTTACACACATTTTACAGATCCTTTATACACATTCAGACAAAGGTCCTTGCAGTGTTAACACTTGATTGGTGGTGGTCAGACCCGTGCTTTTGCTATCTGGTCAGTGAAAACCGGCTTGGGACCAGCTCCAACTACCTTAAGGCCTTGAAGGGAAGACAGTTGAAAAGTTCAGGCTACTGTGTACTTGAAGTGTCTGCTTCCCCCTAATGATCGCTGGTTGACATAAAGGCTACTCTGTTAAGGGGGGGTCACTAGTAACTTTCACATCTGTTAATTTAGTTTGACTTAAAAATGAGTTGATTATAAAAGGATCCTCTAAGAAATGTACACCTACCGGCAACAGGTTTCTCTTCTGAATGATCCTAAGTCCTGAATAACACAGATGCTTCAAACTTCCCTTAGTTAAACTCACTGAAATTTCCTCCAGAGCGGGTTAACGCAGCTGGCAAATATTAGCTTGTTACAAGTTTTTGCTAAAGAGACACTCAGTGGGCAGGGGTGGCCTCAAACTAGTTGTTAACAATTGTTAAATCTACTCTGGGAGCACACATGCTAAAAGGCTTTGCTCACAATAATATGGTCGCGGTGTGGTGCTGGGATAGGGCAGAGCCGGAGTGGGTGCCCTCACTGCATTTCCAGACCTTAACATGTTTGGGTTTCTTTCAGCTTAACCTCAGCTCTGCCTTTATCGGGTTCATGATGCTCGGTCTTAGGATAACTGCAACATCCCAGTAAAAATTTACCCTAAATTACTAATATATACGAAACCTTAATTCCATCTCCATGTTGTCTATCTGGAAGTGTTGTGATTACGGCTACCAAATAGCTAAATGCTATACACCCTGCTAGTCTGTGCTATGACACCCCATCATGTACCCACATGTTTGTCTCATCCATCCATTATGTCTTGTCTTTTAGATATTAAACTCTCTGGGGTAGGACCTGTCACTGTCATGTCTGTACAACCTCACAGTGTCCCTGTAAAGATATAGTGCCTGTATCTGAATGTCCAGCTAACTTGCAACAAATTAACTTGTATTGATGGTGTCTGTCTGGTAACAGTTAGTGTTCCCCACATGCAGGAAATCCCTGAAAATGCTGCAGATTTTGCTCATCTATCTTTTCTGCATGAACCAGTTTTTATGAGTGGAGTTGACCTGAGATTCACACACTCCAAGCTGTGGGAGTCTATGAAGCACTGCTGGAAGGTAAAAGGATCAACAGAACACATTTATTCCATCAGAGTCACTGCACTGACGTGCAAGTCCAGGTCAAGCTTTCCTTTGCTTCAGAGTTTTCCATAACTTTTGCCTTTCTCTCCTCTCACACACCCTTATGGTCGGCTTGAGCACCCTTCTCCTGTCTTGCACTCACTTGGCCTCAACCCTCCAGCCATGCTTTCTTGTATGATGCCTCCTTAGAAATATGACCAGCCTCTTCCCTTTCCACCTTCACTTCAGATATTCTACAACATGCTCAAACTACAACGGTCTTACCCCGTGTGTCTTGTTTTGTACTTTTCCCCATGGCTCTAGACTGAGTCACTTCTTCTCAATCTCTTTTAGGGTGAATGGCAGCCCGAGCCAGAACCCAACAAGCACTGTTCCCTGTTAATGGTTAAACACAGTCTAACAGTGTTTGGAAAGCACTTCTCCTGGATGGATTTCGCAGTTCGAGCCAGACAGGTAGGTAACGCACGTCACAAAACAGTACTCACAAGTACCAGGAACAAAGGAAGTTCTAGTCATTAAAGGGCACACTGACGTGTAGTCTGGGCTCTCTCAGAAACTTGCCTAGGTTTTAGCTAAGTAATTTGACTTCCCTGTGCCACAGTTACAAGTCTGCAAAAAGAGAGGTAAGCTGTGCGCAAGCAAACATTGTGCATTTTCATACGTATCTCCAGGGGCAGAACACAACCATGGGGAACTGATGCATGTAGAGAACTCTGTGCTGAGGATTGAAGATGCAAAGCATTAGCAACACCAGGAAGAGAAACAACCCTAGAGTGACTGGGTTTGTTTCTGTCTAAACTTATGGAAGAAATTGATGGTTTGCATGGAACAGTGGGGAAGTTCTACAGGACTGAAGAGAAGCTAATGTGCCAATATTTAAAAGGGGTAAATGGGATGGCCTGAGTAATTATAGGCCACGCAGGCTGACCTAGATCCTTGGCAAAATAATAGAATGGCTAAGATGGGACTTGATTAATAAAGTTTTAATGGATGGGAATAAATACCAATCAACATGAGCTGATGGAAAATAGATCCTGTCTTGTTTGTCATGAAGTGGATGGATTTCCACGCCATCCGGCTAAATTTCTAACGTGTTTGTTTTTAATGAGATTACAAGTTTGGTTGATAAGTGCTGCTTTAATAGACATCTGTAAAGCCTTTGACTTGGTATGATGTGACATTTTGATTAAGAAATTGCAATGATACAAAGCAGCATGGCACAAACGAATACAAAACTAGATCTCAGATGTAATTATAAATGGGGACTCCTCATCGAACGGGCGTGTGGCCCCACAGGAATTGGTTCTTGGCCCTACTCTCTTTAACATTTTTATCAGTGACCTGGAAGAAATCATATAATTACTGATAAAGTTTGCACAAGACACAAACATTGGAGTGGTAATTAAGGAAGAGGACAGATCTCTGAAATCGCTTGGCAAGCTGGGCACAAGCAAAGAATATGCACTTTAATGTCAAGTCCCACATCTAGGAACAAATGTCGGCCATACTTACAGGATGGGAGATTCTATCCTGGGAAGCAGAGACTCTAGAAAAGATTTGGGGGTGGGGGGTGGATAATCAGCTGAACATGAGCTCCCAGGGTGACACTGGGCTAATCTGAACCTTGGATATATAAACGGGGAAATCTCAAGGAGGAGCAGAGAGGTGATTTTATCTCTGTATTTGGCACTGGTGCCACCACTGCTGGAATCCTGTGTCCAGTTCTGGTGCCCACAGTTCAAGGACTTCAATAAATTGGAGAGGGGTCAGAAAAGAGCCATGGGAACGATTAGAAAATATTCATATAGGAAGAACGGATGGGAGCTCTAGGGGCCGGGCCTGGAGGGGAGGGGGCCGGGCCTGGAGGGGAGGGGGCAGAACAACGTGGATAATTGAGGTGGGGGCTGGGGTGGAAATAATTAGAATTTGAGGTCTGAGGTGAAGCAGGAAACCCCGCACCATACACACTGTCAGGGAGCCAACAAGAGTGGGCCAAAATCACCTTCCTTAATACAGTTGGGAGAGCAGGCAACACTGGCTGTTGTCTACGCACACACTGGGGTGGGGGGAGTGTAGGACAAAAATCAAGGCCAACCAAACAACTCAATGTAAATGTTTTTTCTTAACCCCCACTTCCCCCAAAAATCGCATGATTCTTGGGGGTGTGACCCATGATTTGGGAATAGTTGGGGTTGGCCATACTGCTTCCAGGCTTACGAGCTATTCCAGCTACACTGCACAGGCTTCACTAATTGCAACGCTCTATAGCTTACGTTTTGTCTTGGTAGAGTCACTATTAAGAGGCTCCTGTTCCATTGCAAACAGGCTCTATGCACCCCTGGAGTTTGGGTGCAGACTTCCCTTAGTGGAGGCAACGGCACCCTCGGAAGAGCCAGCTGCTGATTAAAATGCTTGGCTCATATTCTTACTCCTCTTATGAGGCCTTGCTGGAGGGACTCTTCCTGTTAGGCAGCAGAGGGATGCGCCCAGTGTGGTGAATGGCCGGTACAGTCGTCTCCAGCCAAGGAAGGGCGAGGAGAGCCTTGCGGTAGGGACGTGCTAGACTGAGAAACAAGCTCTTTAGCAAATGTTAACAAGTGTTAAGACAAGTGGCTGTACATCGCACTTGGCACTTCCTGCAGAAAAGGGGATCAAAATGGGTCTCACACCCTTGGCAAATGCTGCTCATGTCTTTGAAAGATAGTGGTGGTGGTGGGGGGGTAATATCTTTTATTGGACCAGCTTCTGTTGGTGAGCGAAAGAAACTTTTGAGCTTAAACAGAGCTCTGCCTCAGGTCTGGGAAACGGCCCTACACAGGGATAAAACACAGTTTTTCTCCCAGACTGTCATGGTTAGCAACACCTGGACGGCCAACCCAGCCTCTGGCGCTTCCTAATCTAGCCCAAAGGCCAAGGGGCAGAGAGCGGGCTCTTGCGAAGCCTGGAGCAGGGCAACTGAGAAGAGCTGGCTCGGAGCCAGAAGCGAAGTTGGGCTCTAGGCACAGGATTCTGGGCACCTGGTTCCAGTTTGGGCTTTACATTGATCTTTAGGACTTTGTTACAAAGCAGGAAAAATCAACCCACCCAGAACCCTTATGTTCATCTACTTCCTTGTTCCATGCACGTGGCGTTTGCTCCTGGCTAGGGGCACTTGTGGCTCAAGGCTTGGTCCTGGGGCCGGTTTTGTTCAAGATCTTCATTGATGATCTGGAGGAGGGCGTGGACTGCACCCTCAGCAAGTTTGCAGATGACACTAAACTGGGAGGAGTGGTAGATATGCTGGAGGGTAGGGATAGGATACAGAGGGACCTAGAGAAATTAGAGGATTGGGCCAAAAGAAACCTGATGAGGTTCAACAAGGACAAGTGCAGAGTCCTGCACTTAGGACGGAAGAATCTCATTCACTGTTACAGAGTAGGGACTGAGTGGCTAGGTAGCAGTTCTGCAGAAAAGGACCTAGGGATTACAGTGGACAAGAAGCTGGATATGAGTCAGCAGTGTGCCCTTGTTGCCAAGAAGGCTGATGGCATTTTGGGCTGTATAAGTAGGGGCATTGCCAGCAGATCGAGGAACGTGATAATTCCCCTCTATTCGACATTGGTGAGGTCTCATCTGGAGTACTGTGTCCAGTTTTGGGCCCCCACACTACAAGAAGGATGTGGAAAAATTGGAAAGAGTCCAGCAGAAGGCAACAAAAATGATTAGAGGGCTGGAGCACATGACTTATGAGGAGAGGCTGAGGGAACTGGGATTGTTTAGTCTGCAGAAGAGAAGAATGAGGGGGGTTTGATAGCTGCTTTCAACTACCTGAAAGGAGGTTCCAAAGAGGATGGATCTAGACTGTTCTCAGTGGTAGCAGATGACAGAACAAGGAGCAATCGTCTCAAGTTGCAGTGGGGGAGGTTTTTAAGGTCAAGCTTGACAAAGCCCTGGATGGGATGATTTAGTTGGGATTGCTCCTGCTTTGAGCAGGGCGTTGGACTAGATGACCTCCTGAGGCCCCTTCCAACCCTGATATTCTATGATTCTATGAGGCTTGTGACTATTAGGAAAAAAGTGTGTATGTGAATAGGAACAGACAATGGGTGTCCTGGGGGAGAGACGTGGGCAGGTGAGACCAGCCAGCAATGTCAGCTGCCTTGCTCTCTCCTTCAGCTCGGGCTGCACTAACTGGAGCCATTTGCTGTGGTTCCCCAAGGGCCCAGGGCACTCTGTCTCTGCCCTTTCAGCCCAGACAGGCCCTCGACTTCATGGGGCAAGCTGGGAGTTAGCTATGCCCACCCCTACCTGACTTGGGGATGGCACCACCTGAGCAGCATAAAGAGAACCACACAGGGCAGAGAATCTGCCCCTAAATACAGGCTGTGACCCCTGGACCTGGGAGAAATATGTTCAGCCCATAGGCAGTGAGGATTCCCCTCCTCCTCCCCCCCCCCCACCAGGGTGACTAGACAGCAAATGTGAAAAATCGGGACGGGGTTGGGGGTAATAGGAGCCTATATAAGAAAAAGACCCCAAAAATTGGGACTGTCCCTATAAAATTGGGACATCTGGTCACCCTACTCCCCGCCCCCCAGCCTTCCTGAGTGAAGGGAATGAGCTGACTTCCTTCTCTGTCTGAAGGTGGGGCCGGGGCTGGTCTACCTGACCTTTGAACATGCTTTCCTGGGCCGTGGGATCATTCTGCAGAGCGTGACGCCGGTGGAGCCGCTCCTGCAGCACGTTGTCCATAGGATCTATTACCAGCGAAACATGCCGGCGGTGATCCCCAAATTCATTCTGAAGGTGGAGTGTGTTCAGGTAAGCCACAGGATACGGCTGCACCGCGAGCTGGGCTGTGACTCCCATCGGGAGGCAAGTTACCCACAGTAGTTCTGATCAAGCCAGTGTGCTAAAACTGGAGTGTAGCGCGGCAGCAGGGGCGTGGGGGGG